CATCAGTGCAGACCACTACCCAGCCTTATACAAAATCCAGGCCAGATTCTAGTCCCGGTTTCCCGACTCTTCTCGAAACTGCGCTCCCTCTATTCAGCCGCCGCCACTGGACTAAACACAACTTCCCAGCTCACCACGTGTATCGTAAAAAAGACATCAAAAAAAAAAAAAAAAAAACTAAACCAGTTCCCGTCATCATCCATATACCTTCGATCCCGTCAACAAAAAAATACAAACTGCAGATAAACTAAACCAGTTCCTGTAAAATACAAACTGCGATCCATATACATCCGTAAAAAAAAAAAAAAAAAAAAAAAAAAAAAAAAAAAAAAAAAAAAAAAAAACTAAACCAGTTCCCGTCAACAAAAAAATAAACTGCAGATAACGTTCCTCCAGTCAACGGCCTTCGACCCCATAGCATCACACCTCTCATCCAGCCAACCACCTTCGATCCCATCGCTCCATATGCCAACGCCAACTAAGGGCGTCGCTGCACTACTCTTGAAATGCACAAAAGACAAAAATCATGTGGCTGTATCTTTCCATGTTCTAGTGGAAGATTCACTCTCGTTTTGCACCTTTCAAGAGTAGTGCAGCGAGGCCCTAAAGCTCATCAGTACAACCCCCCAGCTTATATGCCTAGCCAATAGAAATTCTTCTACATTTCACATCTGCCTGCTTATGTCCGAACCTCCGCCAATTCGTCAGTACAGGCAGCCACTCACTCCACAGACCACCAATCTTCCTTGAAAAAGAGTACAGCACACCGTCAAACAAATCGTCTGGGTAACCCCTTTTCCATAGCTCGCTCTTCAACGACACCAGAAAGGGTAAGTACGCTCCTACAACCGAAGCATATGTTTTTGCACGATGCATGAAAGAAAGACCCAATGACCGCCATCTTTTGCTGCTTACTTTGAATATGAGATAAAGTCCCGAGTCGTTTGGAAAACCAAATCGCCATTCAGCCCTTTCCGCATGTTTCTTCGTGAGTGGAAAACAATCAATCATCATCCTATTATCATCCTCAGTGTGCAAAACACACCCCAGATAATCCCACGTGGCTCCCTCAGTAGTTAGTCTTCACAAGAACAAGATCGCCATCATAACAATCGCTAAACGTAGAAATCAACCTCATTGCCCTTGTCTTCGACTCCGGTTCTCTTTCTTTGTACCGAACAAAAACCGAAACGTCATCGATCAACCGAAAACCATCAAATGGCTGCCGCTCATTACCTAAACTATTCAGGAAAGTTAACTCGTTAAATGCACACAGCAAACACACCAACGCAGGACTTGACGATTTTCCCATGGGAATGCCGACCACCTGTCGCAGGCATCGCCCCGCTGCCATGATAGCGTAAGTGTTGTTGAGTTCAAATTTCACGAACGTCCATATTTCCTCAACGGTCATGAGCTTCCAACCCTCTTCCAACCTGCCTCGTAGCAACTTGGCCTCTTTACTCTGTTTCCTTAGCGCAACACCCTTCACTTTCTCTTTCTTCCAAAACTCGATAACCCAATCGACTGCATTCAAAATCGAATTGTTTGGTAAATTTGAAAACCTTTCTTTAATATCGAACGAAGCACCCAAGAGACACTCCCTTTTTCCCACTGCCCTGTTGATTCTTCGAATCTCCCCCACAAGCTTGTCTGCATTCTTTAAGTTCACATTGGAGCCCTTCGGTAGGTTCCAAAGCAGCTGATTAATTGCTTTGCTGGACACCATTTTGCCACGTTTCGCCGAGTCTTCCGTACGAAGGACAGATCGGCCGCCACCGGGTTACATCCTTGTGTTTCGGCAAGCAGTACGCCTTGCCCAATGCTCCGTCCTTTTTCCATAATCCCACACTTGACAGTCCTAACCCCTTATATCTGATGCAGCACCTTTGCACAATCTCCTTCTCGTCACGGTGGAATATCTCGAACACAGGATTCCCAAAAAACAAGGTTGACATCCCGACCTCATACACTCGTGGGCAACAAACAAAAGTGTCACCCATGTTGTGGTCCAACGGGCAGCACACAAGCCCTTCGAACAGTGGTAGTAGTTCCCGTAGGTCATCCTCGCCCAAACACTCCTTATACTCCGTAGTAACAGAAGAGAAACATGACTCTACTCCTTGGAAACAATGGTCATGACTCTACTCCTTGGAAACAATGGTGGCAGGGAGGTATGGGCCCGAAAGGCCTTCAAGAGTTCCTTACTCACTTACGAGCACCTGTCATGCCCAGATGGTTTCAGCACGTTCTTCGACGTTTTGACCCACCCTGGCATTTCCCCACCTCACTCAGTCTACATGCTACATGTTCGTCAATCCTTGCAAATCTAGAGTCCGCTTCCTCACAGCGACAAGAAAAAAAACGGTGCCCCTCGTTATTCGTTGAAAATTATGAATTCTGTCAGCGATCGATTTGTTCTGACACCAAACAACTCTCATTCTTCTAACTAACATCTCCTTTCATGCTTTTGATATCGCCATCTTCCTAACGATCTCAGCACAAAAACGATGGACCTTACTCTTGCTCACCCGATCGTCAAACGGTAGCTTTACCACAAGCCTTTGACGGACTCGCAACCCGAATTTATTCTGAATAACACTTGACAAAAAATATCGTAGTCCTGCATGCAACGTGTCCGCTTTTCGCCAAAAGTATGTACGACAGTATTAAGCATACACCAGATTATCCAACCCCCAACCCGCAAGTTCCTTCTTCTTCATCGGGCACCGCAGCGCTTCGGCCAGCGGCCCCTTCAACGACAGGGATTTACTCAGGAACGGAATAACCTTAACGACATGAAACACATGTACCTCCCTGTAGCCAAACCCCGAGCATGCCTCAGCTCACCTGTTCCAAACTTGCAGGTAACGGTACTCCCCCCGAACATTCTTCTCAGTGTTCTCACCACTTTCCATTTGTCCGAAAATCGATCTCCTCTATTGCACATAAACATACAGTTATGTAACGAATTCAGTCTACAGTGCTCTAGAATCCGTAGCAAGCGCCCCATCACCAATCCAAAAGTGGTTCGGAAACTGAGCAGACCTCCTCGTTTAGTCTTCTCCATCTGTTGACTAAGCAGTCTCTCCTTAGCCTTCCTTCTTTTCTTTACACCCCGGTCTTGACTTCTTTGATCTCCGACCTCTCCCTCTCACATTCAACGATGGGCAAAGTTCCTGAATAAAAAAGTTATCGGTAGCATTCAAATCCTCCTCCTTACACGTCGCCAATGGAACGACGACATACTTGTGAGCCCCATACCTTCTAAACCAACGGTAAAGCTTCTCATTCCTTCTCCTCTCCTGTGCAATACCCAGCTGGCCGGACCTTTAAACGTGTTCCCCCCATCTTGTAGTCATGTCCCTGTTCGTGCTCCCAACATACAAATGTTGACACCATGGGGAGAAAAGTGCGTACACCACCGGTCCACTACCTGTACCAAAGTCAAACCCATCGCGTCCAACTTGGATAACATATTTGACCAGCTTCTCGCCCCAAGCGACTGCTCCCGCAACGATCATCATAGAAACGAAAAGACTTAACAACCCATTCAACATCTTGCATCTTAACCGCGTGGTAGAAGTGGATCGAAACATGCAGCACCTCTCAGTGAGTCTCCAGAGGTTGGTCACGTCCGGGCATGTACCTACTACGAAGTAGTGGAAAGGTCGTCGACACTCGCCGCAACTTCGTCCGCCCCATCCTCCGAAACATCGAGCACTGCCTTTTGGCCCTTCTCTCCCCCATTGTCTTCATTATCGAATTCTCTAGCAGTACGTACTCTGGCGATCTCCTCTCTTGTAATATCAAGCTTTTCATACGTACCTCCTTCTTTGTCGCAAATCGTCAAGATCTCCTCCTTGCGCATACCTTTCAAATCTTTCCTCGTCTTCCTCAAAAACCTCTCACGATCACTCATCAGGTCAGCCGGGCTAACTCCCTTCGCCCTATCGGTCATCCGTGTCGAACCCCCGGCCACCTCATCTATCTCGTCGGGACTTCAGGTTAGTGGCTCCTCCATGTTGCCTTTTCTCCATTTCCAACTTCTTCATCCGCTCGTGCAGCCTTTCGATCTCCAGGTCATCGCAAGCTTTCTGTGCTCTAATTTTCTTCAAGTCTTCCTCCGCTTCGCGCCGAGCTTTCACCTCCTTCATTCTCATTTCTTGCAAGACATCCACCTCCATCCCATGTCGCTTCACAACACTCTTGTAGTGCTCGTCTACCCTCAATCTCGTCGCATCTGGCGTCGCTCCTTGCACTGTGCGTGCCCGCACTCTCGCTTGCGTGACTGGAGTAGCTTCGACGGCCAGGTTTCCCTGTTTCTTACCGGGTCGAAGCGCCTCGTTTTTCCAAGCTTCGGCGTCTGCCACTGCCTCGTCTTGTAATCTCCTCTCTTTGGCTATCTCTTCTTCGAGCGCGCCAAACCTTTTTTCGGAGGCTGACTTCAGCTCGGCCACCTCCTTCTTCAGCAGGTCAACAGTCTCCTTGTCACTCACCGAGGTCGACGCAGCCCATTCTTGTTGGTTCCTCTTAATCTTCTCGATCTCATCACGCTGTCTCGCTACTCCGTCTTCTCCTTTGTCTTTGCTCATCTTCCCTTTTTGTGTAGACGTTGCAGAGTTCCCGTGTTGACTATTCTTCAATCATTTGATCTCTTCTCGCAACTTGGCAATTTCGTCATCTCCTTTGTCTTTGTCCTTTTTCCCCACTGCGCTGCTGATCACATCTAACTTCGAAATCAGCTCTTTAGCAAAAATGGAGTGCATCTCCTCCCGGCCTTTCTTCTCCTTCAACCGCCTATCCTCCTCTTCCTTCTCTTCTTCTTCTTTTCCTCTTCCTCTCGTACGGCTTTTTCTCTAGCCTCATCAGCCTCGTGCTTACCCCTGATCTTGGCAATGAGCTCGTCTAGATGTGACACCCGCCGGCCCAGCCCGCCTCCATTACAGTACCCCCCTTTATAGTAACCATTGTATGCGGGTGGTCCCGTATAATCGACGCACCGCCATACGCCGGAGTCTGTACCGGAACTAAAGCAGTACTTGTGGAACCATTCTGTCCGTTCAGTCCTTTGTTGGGAAGGTGGCGGAATCTAGCTATATGACCTAGCTGTCCACAGTTATAACACCCTGGATCTCTAGCACCGGAGTTCTTCTGATTAGAAGCCATCCCGACCTTTCGGACAGTACGGTGGAGCCACGCGACGGCCGTAGTATAATCTCTACGCCGGTTACACCTCGAGAAAAGGTATTCGGCTTACGCAGGACCGTTAGCAAGGTTAATCAGGGAATCAAGACGATTCATGCACCATAGACTCGAGACGAACAACCGTAGAATGACTTCACACGAAGGCACAGGATCGGACAAAGCTTTGAGAGAAAACCCGAACGTGACAGCTGCTTGAGAAAAAATACATAGAGAACAGTAGCAGCTATGGTGGAACCGCGTTCCACTTCGGCGACGACCCTACCGGTTTCACCTGACCGCCGTGCCAGGATCATCAGGAGTCTTGGAGATCAGACTTCCGTAAAGCTATTTTAACTGTTCCCRTAACCCACGTAGAAGTCGTCGTTCTCGAGAATGAGACTACCTATGTCCAAGTACAGCGAAAACTGGAAACAAGGACTGAAAGACCACAGGCCGAAAAAGGTGAATAGATCCTCAAAGAAGAACCAGGTTAACCCATTCCATAATGAATAGTATCGCACCCTCCGAACCACATCAGTGCAGACCACTACCCAGCCTTATACAAAATCCAGGCCAGATTCTCTGTATTGGGAAGGGGCCATGCTAATCTTCTCTGTATATCGTTCCTATTTTTAAGGATGTCCCGAAGGACGAGACCGGAGTATATCTCTCTCTACCATGGGGAGAAAGACAAACCACAAAGAGCCAGAAGCATGTTCCTTGCATTGGAAGACACGAAAAGAAAGGGATGAACCAGAATCATTCTCCATGCCGAGGACTGATGAAATTGCCACCTCTCTCCTTGCCCTCACTCTCGGGTGCGCCTGCCACATTGCGAAGATTCTGGCCCTCGCCTTGAAGACAGGTAGATAGAGATTCCCTTCGCTCAATCTGCAAGGAGAGAACTGGAATGCCTACTGGGTGGGGCTACCACATCGCGAACCAGGCCCATGGACCTGGTAGCCTGGCCTCACTCTCAGGTGCCCACTCATGGCTCTAGTGTCATAATGGCTTCTAGTCCACTAGAACAATTTGCTATTATTCCATTGATTCCTTTGTTACTTAGGTTTTCCAACGCCCTCGCGGCATTAGGCGCATGGGCACCTGAGATAGATCCAGGCGCTGGCAGGTGCCCCCACTCATGGCTCATGGAGCAGTGCAGCTGGACCATTAGGTGAATGGGACGGGCCCCATTAGGCGCAAGGCCCTCATGGCATCATTAGGCTCATGGGCTCTGTAACCTAAGTGGGCCCGGCTCATCTAGCTAACAATGGTCCAGCTGCCATTTCTCCTTGCGCCGAACCCGCAGATGCCCACTTACGGACCTAATGGCAATAGGCTCACGAGACGGGCTCATGGGCTTAATGGTCCAGCTGGAATTGCATCGGTACCAGCTCATGGACCTAATGGTCCAGCTGGAATGACCTTGGGACCATCTGGAATGACCTTGGGACCAACTGGAATGGATTTGGCACCAGCTCATGTACAAAAAGGTCCAGCTGGAATGACGTTGGGACCAGCTGAAGAACCTGAGGTCCCAAGGTCATTCATTCCAGCTGGTCCCAAGGTCATTCCAGCTGGAATGGATTTGGCACCAGCTCATGTACAAAAAGGTCCAGGTGGAACAGTCCCAGGGCCTTGTCTCACCGCAGGATGGAAACTCTCTGAAGGTGGGATGAGTTTTGCCCAGTGAACGCGGACTTGATGGCATCCAGGTTCATCTTCCCGGGTTGGACCTGATAACCCTCTGGTTTACACAATGACAAGATGCGATGGGAGCTATGGGGATGTCACTGTAAGTAAGGGTCAGGCACCAGCTGTCCTGTTTTTTTTTTTTTTTTAAATGCTAACAAAGCATCCTGAACATTACCAGGTCTTGCTGATGCTCATGGTTTGTGAGCATGATTATAGCGCCACTGGGACTTTATCCTCCGGCAGCCTTATTTGTTGCATATGTCTACAGACTCTAAACGTTTGTTCGTACGCAGTTTTTAAGTGCTCCGAACCAGGTCCAATTGTGTAAGCAAGGTTCAATTAGCAGGAAACCAAAAAATAATCAAGTACTGCCGCTAACGCACCCTAGCCAGCGACTGAGTTGTGGAAGTTACTCAGAGACTTCATGCAACGCATCTCACTTGTGTTTTCATGATTCGACATTATAACCACCGGTTCTCACGACGGTCAAGAATTAGCCTTAAAAAAAAAAAAAAAAAGGGCTACCGGTAGGACGGTGGGAAATGCAGTGAATCGCCGCCATGATTTATTTCGGGGTTGATTTTTTTTTTTTTTTGTCTATTTTTTCTGATATTTTTCCTGGAAAGATTGCAACATAATCTACCGGGAGTCGGGGGTCCGGGACACAAATTTTCAGATTTTTCTGTGCATTATGCTGAGCGCGAAAAATCGCTGAAGTTGCAGTACTTTTCTGTTGGCCCATAGGTGGCAGAGAAGCCACAGAGTGGCAAAAATGAAAAAGATATCTGATAAAGGTTCATAAAACCGATCCCACATAACGATGAATGGGAAGGAATATTAAGTGCAGAATTGCCAGGTATATTTAATTGGGTCACGAGTTTATCTAAACATTTTTTTATATGTTTTTTAAACTTTTTTTCTGATATTTTTCCTGGAAAGATCACTACCTAATTTACCGGATCTCAAATTTTCTCATTGCATCATTCTGAGCATGAAAAATCGCTGGAGTACTTTTTCCGTTGTTCAGTAGGCGGCAGAGTGGCAAAAGGGAAAATGTGCCAAATTGGCATGATGATTATGTCACTGTCTAAACTTTCTTTTTTCCTCCAGTTTTTTTTACATTTTTCCTGGAAAGATCACGGCCTGATCTGTCAGATCTCAAATTTTCAGATTTTTTCTGTCCATTATTCTGAGCTTGAAAAATTGCCAAAGTCGTCGTTTGCAAATTGCGTGACTGGCCCCACTGCTGCCTGTCGGTCCATGGTGCACCCCTGCCAAATGAGTCCCAGCTGGCGGGGCGACGAGCGGTTTAATGAGACGGAAAGAAAGCGGCCTGCCACCCAATTTTTGTCTGCTTTCAGTTCTACTTGGCTTCTTGCTGAATTGATCTACGCTGATTCTTTTTTTTTTTATGTATGGTCAGCTGTTGCGATCCACTCACTTTGAGGTACACTGATCCTTTGACATTGGAAAGCTTTTTTTTTTCTTTTTTCTTTTTTTGAAGCTCCATCTATTTGTGGGGAGCTCCCGTGAACTGGCCAACAGTTCAGAGTCCCCGCGCATAAGTGAGCGGGCTATACTACCGATGGGGGTCATGTGCTATAACGGGCTGATCTTCCCCAAGAGTTCACATCGACGGGAAGGGTTAGCACCTCAGATCGGGGCAATCGTCTAGTAATGGGAAAATAAAGTAGAGGAAATTTGGCTATATGCTGGGACATCCATAGTTTCTAATCAAAAAAATAAGTGGAGCTAAGTGTGCGGTGATTGCCAGCGTCCGTGTGGCGTGTTGTGTGTGGTGTGCATTGAGTCTGGACACTACAGCCTTGCAGGGGTGGGGCGGATATCATGGCCCATTCACGGCCCGTATGGTTCCGCTTTAAATTTGAACACCGTGTCCTGCCTGCAGTGGTTACGATAAGTGGTTCCTCTTGGGGCCGAGGTCGCCGGTTCGAGTCCGGACTTGCACGGAGGAGCGCTGAGGCCCAGAGGGGGTTACTGATCCAATGACAGCTGCTGCGAAGCAGCGAGGTTCAAACTCTCTGTGGCTGGTTTAGGATCTTGCGCGTTGTGAAAAAAAAAAAAAAAAAAAAAAAAAAGGGATCTTGCGCGTTGTATCGAATTCACGCCGAGGGGTTGTGGAAGGCCACAGCCCAGCGTAGCATCCAGGATGCACCCTGCCAAGTCTTAGACTCGCCACAAGGACTGGCAGAGCAACAGATGGTTGATGTCAGACAGCGTTTTTATCACGAGGACCACGATAATTGGGAACCTCTGGGGGCACAGTGGGTATCAGGACACAGTTAAACTACCCGCGGACGTTTCCGTGGCGGGAGAATAAAAAATGCGTGGTCTTGAAAACCAGCGCAACTTTTGGGGCTCGGCCTGCAGAGCGAAATGGCGGGTGGCGCGGGCCAATGAAGGCCCGCACTGGTTCGATTGTCTTGCTTGGCGCAGGGGGCGGTTTCTAGGCCCACAGAAAAGTGCTGCGGAAGTAGTGGTTTAATCTGCCGGCTCGCACGACCCAAAAGTTCTCGAATCCATCGTCCAAGGGGCTCACAAGCGTCTAACTGTACGTTTTTGTATTGTGGCCTTCTGCGCTCGATACTGGCCCAGGCGCGAACTATCTTGGCCTTACAGTGTAAACCGCTATGACCCGACCTAGATTTGCAAGAACTCGCGTCAAAAAAAAAAAAAAAAAAAAAAAAAAAAAAAAAAAAAAAAGATGATATGATACAGGATTACGAGAAGGTTTGCATCAGGCAGCCTGTTTCACGAGAGGTGCGAGAAAGGAGATCCGCCTCGGATGATGGGTAACGGTGCAGCTAAGCCACCAGTACCCCCCCCCCTCCGGTGGTGGGGACCGCACTTCCAATGTACCGGTTGTATTTGTACTGGTTTGATCCGCTCGGGTGCGGAGAAGTAATGGTGTATCAACTCAGGATCCATCAAAGTGGCGGGCTTAAACCACCAGCACATCCATCGAAGTGGCGGGTCTAAAGACTCTAAACCACCAGCACGTTTCCCAGGCATTTTTTTCAGAGACGCAGCGTACGCGCTGACACGTCTGCTGGGAAGTACCAGGGCGTCGTTTCGTTTTGTGGCACATC